GAAGTATGTAGATTGTAAATTGTTCAAATCATCGTCTCCGGGGTAAGTTGGGGCCATCGTAGAAGATTAAAGTATTACATTGAAATAAATTGGAAAATCTTTCAAAATCTTTTTTTCAAGACCTACTGGAACATAAAAACTGAAACTTATATGAAGGCTTCCTAAGGTAGTGTACATTGTAAATTGTTAAAATCATGGGCCCCGGAATAGGTGGGGCCACGGTAGGAGACTAAAGTTTTACATGGAAATATTTAGGAAAATCTAAAAATCTTCTTCTCAAGAACCACTGCACCAGAAAAGATGAATCTGATGTCAAAGCTTCCTGAGGTAGTGTAGATTGTAAATGGTTCAAATCATGGTCCCTCGGGGTAGGATGGGGCCACAATAGGCAATTAAAATTTTTACAGAGGAATAAATAGGGAAGACCTCTCCTCAAGAACAACAAAGCCATGATGAATCATACTAATGTGGCAGTATCCTCAGGTGGTGTAGATTCAAGTTTGTTGAAATCTTGAACTCCGGGGGTATAGCGTGGGGACCACAATAAATTATCATAGTTTTTCAAAAGATTTATTGGAAAAGATTTAATTTCTTCTCATGAACAACAAAGCCATGATTAGTCATATTTATATGAAGCATCAGATGGTCGTGTAGATTCAATTTTGTTCAAATCATGGCTCTTAGGTGTAGGGTGCGTTACAAAATGCAATCACAATTGTACATAGGAATACATGTACGAAGGCTGTTCGAAAATTATTGAGATATTCTGATTTTTTTCCTTTCTAATCGACGTTTTTGGTGGAAATTGGTATATACATTTAAAAAACACCAACAATATATAAAAGTAAGAAATATTTAAGAAATATTTTGATTTTCCTTTTAAATTTTTGAGCTTGAATACTGTTCGTTAGCTCCATATATTTCATGACTTATTGATGATGATGATTTCGGTAGGGTACCAGGCGCAGTCTCAAAACCGAGTATTGGAATTCTGTAAATATTACGTACTAAGTCCTGGATGACCCAGAGAATGTATGAGAATTCATAAAATTATACATATCATATTTCAGTCTTCATCTTGACTTTATTTTGTTCAAGTTTGAAAATATTTCGATTAGAAATACGGATATCATAAAGAATTTTCGGCAAGCCATTAAAAAACTTATAATGACGGCAAAATGAATTTTGACATCAAGCCGGAGCAGCGGGCATGCATCAATTTTTGTGTAGAGCTGAGCAGAACTGTTTTGATAAAGAACCTTCTAAAACAAAACACAGCGTAGATGAAATGTGTCTAGGATATGGTTTATTGTTGATTAAAACATTTTTCTGACAAATCATTTAACCACAGTGAAAGCAAAGAAGCTGGATGACCATCAGTTATTACTGACAAATTAACGTCACCAGTCCTAAAGCTGGTACCGAATGATTAAGTCCAGCTGTTAAGAATTTGCTTGGTTAGAGCGTCTGCTCTAGAGTCGCGGAGTAAGAAGCTGATCCTTACGTCGCGTGTTTGAATCCACTGCGGCTCGTGGAGACCGGTCCTTCGGATGAGACCGTATAAACCGAGGTCCCGTGTCGCAGTAGGTGTTAGCACGAAAAAGATCCCTCTCTGCTCTATGGTCCTGAGTGCAGAGTATAAGGAGAAATTTGCAGCCCTCCATCGGCAAGGGGTTGTGTCTCCATATGAGTGAAAAATTTCCGAGAGGGACATTAAACAGCAAACAAAACATGGATATTTGAAATAAGGGAAGCAACAACAAACGAGTTTGTAAAGGGGGGTATAAGAATAGAGAAAATTTGTACCAGTTGGGTTTTTAGAATCTTATTAAGTGACGGCAGAAAAAAGAAGAGCTGACGCTTCCCAATCATTTTAATGTGAGAAAAAAATCTAACGCTGAAGTAACGTTAAAATGATGACTGTTATTATCTCTACGGAGTGCTACGGGTCAATGGACATATGCAAGTTAAGAATTTCAACGGTATTTATCTAATAGTGCCTTCAACAAGAGATTTTGCATCATAAAATCATAAAATTCTGGTGAACTTTCATTAATTTTTTTTTTCTGGCAATAAGGCAAAAGTCTCAATAATTTCAGAACAACCCTCGTATATAGGGAAACAGCTTGGCCAAGTCTTAGGTGAGCGTTGTGGCCCATGAGCCTCCCGTTTTTCTTAGAGATTAATTTATGGTTGTGATTTGACCATTATCTAACGGACTTCTCATTCGGCAAACCTCGGATGATTCCGTTGCCTTCATTAAATAGGTACGAATCGGCCGAGGTGTGCCGAGTGACGGACTTCCAATATTTTTCACAAAGATACGAATGTTGTGCAAAAAAGTGTATTTAGAAGGTAGATGGGTCTTTCCTCCATGTTTTTGTTAACCGAAATATGAATAGTTTTGTGCATACTTTGAGTTTAATCTTTCAAAAAAGGAAAATGAAGCAAAAACAGGCTCGTAGAACGCGGGGGTCCCTCTTTTTTCTGAGTAAAGTATTTTGCTATAGTAAGTTTTCCTCTGCATGCTGGTTGCCCCCCCCCCCCCCCCCCCACACACACACACAGACTTTTTGTGTTGTGAGATTTTGCACTGGCAAATTCCATGATTTGGACAGGTAATTTTTTTTTTTAATTTATGTATTTATTTTGCTTGTCAGACTGTTTTGGGAAGTTCCATCCCCCCCCCCCCCCCACACACTTTTGAAACCGTCGCTACGGGCCTGAAAGATCAATTCATAAGGAAAAATTGTCATATAGTTTGAAAAAATATCATTTTTGCCCTCTTTGGTGTGTAGATGATACTTCATAGATGAATATTTTCAATCTTTGTGAGGTTGTTGCAAATTTTGGAGATTTAACAAAAATTATACGTTAATATTAAATGATCGAAGAAAATTTTGTCATAATTGAAGAGCCATTCTCTGTAAGGACTTTAACTTTTATATAGGAGCTGTGGCACGCATAGTCTCAGAATTTCTCCAAACTCTCTATGATAAAAGTCTTTGACACCGTAAACTCAAATCAGGCAAAAATTGATTGCTACGTGTCATGGTTACCATAGCAACATGTCCTAAAGTTTGAAAAATTGCATTTTTCAACATGTTCAGAGACCCCCAGTTAACGTTTGCAGCAAAGCAAACAAGTGGCAATGACTGTTTCTGAAAGTTGAAGGCCTGATGTCTTAAATGCATGATAAACATGTTTGGTAAATCAACTATCACATACGTTACTATGGAAACAAAGTATTTAAAAGTAATAATTTTGTTCATTTAATTTTATAAAGTCATACACTTAAGAATAAAAACAATAATAGGTTGAAATGCAAGCAAATAATAGAGAAGAGATCCTTGTAACATATACCAGGGACGAAAGATGATATTTCTTATAGGTAGGCAATGGTTGCCATGGTTTTAATACCACAAAGGGATTTTAAATTTACTCTCTTAGTGTTTTAATCTTATCCTATCTTTTTAAAAAGCATATTTCTATATAACTGATGATCAATTTTTAAAGGCATTGGTGTGACCCTAATTTTCACATTTCAAAATATTCAAATTCAAATCTTTAAATAGAGAGTTGCTATGGAAATTAGCCGAAAAAATATGCATAAAAACCTGAAAAATATTCTGTTTCCTTGGATACGTACCCTTGTTTGTAGATTCCCAAAACGTTTATGATTGATATATAACAACTAACCTGACTTTCAATTTTGACTACCACCCAATCTCTAACTGGATGCAAAAAGCTGGCACATAGGATTTAATACTGATATAAAACTAACAAAATCGAACATTTTCCCTTCTTGGCAACCATAGCAACAGTGTTGTATTTTTCAAAAAAAAAACTTTATCAATATATGATATTCAACTTTACTTCTACCAGATAAGTACTATTCAAGGTTTCTTGATTAAAAGGTAAGTAAATTCCTAAAGCAGCAAAAAATATCACTTTAAACAACTGGTACGTTGTTTCCATGGTTACACTGCAAAGTTACAATTAATCCCAATTTTTCTTATGTTGTCGGTATTGCAAGGTCCTCAGAATGTATATGTGCCAGTCATGAATTTTATTGTTTTTCCTCAAGATAGTAGCATTAACCCAATCTTAGCAACAGATTTTGCATGTTTACACTGTGTTACCATGGCAACAATGGAAGTTATTTTTAGAATAATACCAATACTTAATAATTGCCAATACTTAATTACTTAAGGTCAAATATTTTTATTGTTTTTCTTTGGTTGATGATTGAGTTTGATCATGTAACATCTATCATTAGTGAATATTGAGCATTTTTCAGCATCTAAAATGTATTCCAAATGTACCCATGGTTACCACGTACTTAGAGATAAATTGTTAATAGTTTCTTTATAGCATGAGTGGCAACAAGGTGTCATATTTTTGTGAGAATAGTTTGTTTGTTTTTCTTAGTCTTTATTAAGGCTTAATAAAGATTCAAAGTAGCTGAAAATCTCAATTTTTTTCAACTTTTCTGGCTGTTACCATGGCAACCAAGACACATAGCAACGAAATTTTATTTGATATATGTTTCTGGTGTCAAGTTGTAATAATCGGCAAAGTGTCATCAAAATCGGTGACCATGCGTTGCAAAGAAGTTTAAGTGGTTACAGAGAATCGCTATTAATTTTTCACTTTCTATTTTGTCGCACAATAGGCATTTTGCTCGCCGTGTTCGTCCATCTTCAAATTTGACCAGTTATTGTTTAGTTATTAGATTTCATTCATCTAAGTTTTGGATACTTTCAAGCTATTTGAGTGACATTGCGGATGTACGTTACTATAAATAGAATGGATATGAAAATTTTCACTGAATTATTTTCCAATTTTTTTAAAAGAACTGACGTAAAAAAGTATAATTTAAATCGGATGAATTCGAAATGTGTCTGTAAAGAAAGTCTAAGACAAATTACCATTAAAATATTATAGTGCTCAATAATAACAAAAAAAAAACTGTCTACAAATAAATCAAATGTGCTTACTGATCTGGTTAAGAGTTGATGCTATGGAGAGTTGGTTTTTGGAAATTTCTTGGAACTTGTTTTCTAGAATCAAGTCTTTGTTCCTGAGAGAGGCAAAGTCACGACTGGTCATGTCAGACATATTTATTACCTCATCAGTTATATTGCTTATTTCCGTGGACAAAGCGGCAGTGTTAGTCTTCAGTCGAATATTCGTGTCATTCACTGTTTTCTGAAGGTTAGAGTTAACACTCTGCAAATCCGAATACTTCAGGTTTTGCTCAACTACTTCCATTCTGGTTTTTTGTGTTGAATTTTCTAGTTGGTTTATCCGTGCAGTGGCTTGATCAAACTGAGTTTTCATATTATTGTAGCTTTCATTCAAAACATCATAATCTTTCTTAAAGTGAATTAAAGTTGTCTCAATGAACTGAAGCCGACTTTCCAATGTATTTAACTCCTTCTGTAACTCTTTATCAATGTCAATTTGTTCAACTTTAGGCATATTTTCTAAACCATTTCCGGAATCAGCCATTACCATGTATCCAAGTGGCTCGCTGCTAGAGTAAATTAGGAAAGTGGAAAAAAGAAAGGTTTTGACCAATATGTTCATGATGCACATGCACACTTCCTAGGATTAACAAGTAAACTAAGTTCCAAAGCAGGTGTCCGACTTTGATATGCCTTGACAGCAATGACATAACATTGATATAAATGAGAGATTCGAGACTAAACCACCAGAGACTTATTCACTGTGTATCTTATCTTCTAGGTTACGAGGTCCACTATCATGAACAGTTCTAGGTGCGAGGCCAATCGTTATTTCAGTGTGTCTGTTTAGCGCTACTGACACGTCGTCACAGATATCAAATGACATATCAAATGACGATAAAAAAAAAGTGCATTTAATTAAATTAGTTTTTAGTTGCTTGAAAAAAATATTTCTAAAAAGAAAGAATAAAAATGGAATACTCACTAATTTCTTACTAAACATGAAGTAGTCATTACATATTTGTTTTTAACACACACACACACACACAATTAGTGTCATATTATTTACAACTAACGTATATGTGAATTCATTATTTTGATAGGAAGATTTATTTATCGAGAATCAACAAATATGTATGTAATGATCGTGTGTTGACATGACCAGTGTATGGTCAAAAGCGTGTTAAAAAAAATTGCATACTGATATTCCTCAAAAATATAAAACAGCTGTTGATCAAATCTTATTCAAATGTTTGAGTTAAGAAAATACATTTCGATTTATTATCTAAGCTCATCTAAGTGTACTGTTTTAAGAAGAGTCCTATAATTACATCTTCAACAGTGAAATAATGTGATTTATTCATTGAATAAAAGTCATATTCTCTCACAGTGTGAAAGGATACCAAAGTGATATTCTGTCATAGTGTGAAAGGATATCAAAGTAAGTAAAAATTATTTTTGGCCTGTCATAAGATAGAGTTAGTAACTAAACTGTCTTGATACAGACTAAAACTGCCAATTTCGTCCTAAATACACTGTATGTTGCTAGAATCCATGTTACAATGTTTTCAATGTCACAACTTCTAAGCTATAGTCCTAATTATCAGTGTATTGTTTTAAGAAGAGTATACTAATTATCCGTGTATAGTTTTAAGAAGAGTCCTAATTATCAGTCTAGATTTTTAAGAAGGGTCCTAATTATCAGTGTATTGTTTTAAGAAGAGTCCTATAATTACATCTTCAACAGTGAAATAATGTGATTTATTTATTGAATAAAAGTCATATTCTCTCACAGTGTGAAAGAATACCAAAGTGATATTCTGTCATAGTGTGAAAGGATATCAAAGTAAGTAAAAATTATTTTTGGCCTGTCATAAGATAGAGTTAGTAATAAACTGTCTTGATACAGACTAAAACTGCCAATTTCGTCCTAAATACACTGTATGTTGCTAGAATCAATGTTACAATGTTTTCAATGTCACAACTTCTAAGCTTTAGTCCTGATTATCAGTGTATTGTTTTAAGAAGAGTACTAATTATCCGTGTATAGTTTTAAGAAGAGTCCTAATTATCAGTCTATAGTTTTAAGAAGAGTCCTAATTATCCGTGTATAGTTTTAAGAAGAGTCCTAATTATCCGTGTATAGTTTTAAGAAGAGTACTAATTATCAGTCTATAGTTTTAAGAAGAATACTAATTATCCGTGTATAGTTTTAAGAAGAGTCCTAATTATCCGTGTATAGTTTTAAGAAGAGTACTTATTATCAGTCTATAGTTTTAAAAAGAGTACTAATTATCAGTCTATAGTTTTAAGAAGAGTCCTAATTATCATTCTATAGTTTTAAGAAGAGTACTAATTATCCGTGTATAGTTTTGAGGAGTAATAATTATCAATGAGTAGTGGTAGTTATTAACAGTACATAGTTAATTTGTCCTGTAAGCATGCAGCTGTTAAGTCAGCCTGTGACGGTGCATATTGTCGTTTTGTACAAATTGTCGTCGGTGACAATATGTACCTACCCTCACTGCACATATTGTCGTCCATCTGTACATATTGTCGCCGACTGAAAAGTTACATATGTACATATTGTCGTTGGCGACATTATGTGCCTCACCCTCACTGTACATATTGTCGCCCCAAAGATATTGTTGTTTAAAGATATCTTTTGCTGTTTTTTTTGGTAGCTTTGTGAATGTTATTGGTGTGAGAATCACACTGACGTGTCTCGTTTGCTATTTCATGCAGCGTGATTGTGATGGTACATTTTGTCGTCCTGTTCATATTGTCGCCGGCGACAATGTGTACCTTCCCTCACTGCGCATATTGTCGTCCATCAGTGTTATTGTATATGTTAACTTAATTATTTAATTATGAAATTTTACCTGTGGACTAACTATATACAAGTTAAACAAACAGAATTTACCAAAGCAAAAAAAAAAAAAAAATAATAATAATAATAATAATCAAACCACCAAGCGGGGGGGGGGGGGGTACATCTGCCTTTGGTGTTTGAGATGATTTTTAAAGATTTTCTGTATATATTCCTATGTAAAACTTTGATCACCCATTGTGGCTCACATTACCCCTGGGGTCATGACTTGAACAAAATTGATTTTGTTTTTGTTTGATTGTTGTAAAAATGTGTTGAAATTGACCCAGTAGTTCTTGAAAAGAAGCTGAAAGTATGAATAGTTAACAGACAGGCGGACGGTCGGACAAAATTTGATCAGTAAAGCTCACTTGAACTTCCAGTTCAGGTGATCTAAAAATTTTATTTTTTGCGTTATTCTTACATTATTATTAACAATAAATTATATTTATAATATTATATCGGCACATGATCGTATATAAGAATTATTTCCAAATAATATTACTACTGAACAAAAAAAAAATACCTGTATTCAATCTCCAAGTATATGTTACAAGAAAAAAAGACTAGCTGATTTATCAGATATCTCAAGAATTACGGTATCTTGATATGTCATAGTGATGTACATCAATCCTGGACACAATTTTCTGACCAAAAAATTTTCTCCCTACAGTATTGCGAGTAATGTTGTCTGTCTCCCTCCGTGCGTGTGTGTGTTTGTCAATTTCTCTTTCTTTTCTCAAGTAAATATTCGTCAAAACAATATATCGACGACAATATATACCGACCTTGACTGTACATATTGTCGCCGACGACAATATGTGCTGGTGCTTGACTGTACATTTTGTCGTCCATTATGCAGGAAGAAAATAAGGCTCGTCTCGGTACATATTGTCGCCGGCGACAATATGTACAGATGGACGACAATATGTGCAGTGAGGGTAGTACATATTGTCGCCGACGACAATATGTACAAAACGACAATATGTATCGTCACACAGCCTCGTATGCTATACGCCAGCATCAATGGTGCCCTCTCTTATCACTATCATCTCCCATTTCTTCTTTATGTTCGCTCCTCAGGTTAACAATTAAGTGATACCTCAGAAATCAAGGATCAAATGTTGCTAACATGTTAACAATAGCACTTTTAAGATTGATTGGAAATAATTTAAACGTTAATTTTTATCAGTTCACGAAGGAATATAGTCCTCTGTTTATATACTGTAGATTCCTAAAAATACTTGAAGAATTTTAAACTATAACCGCGTAATTTTGCGAGAAGCATCACCCACGAGATAAAAATACTCGCTTTTAATTTTATAGTGCTGAAACTCACGTAAAATTTCTTGATCAACCGTCCAGTCGCGAATTATTTTTCTCGTGATATAATTTATTCTTAGACTCAGGTTGAGACATTTTTAGCGAGGGGTATATACTGTCATGTTCTAAATTTTGAATTTACCGAGTGGGAGTAACTACAAAATTTAGAAAGTTGTCATGTTCTAAATTTTGTGTTTACTCCCACCCGGTAAATTCAAAATTTAGAACATGACAATATAAACAATCAACGACACCGAAGGTGTTGAACTACATGTGTAGAAAGACTTGGATGTACATGTACAAACAAGAGAGCAAAGAGGCTTTCATCCTCGCAAGCCAGAGGTCCTGAGTCAACACGTTGTCGTTGGACGCCTGGCATATTTCATTCAATATTCGTGGGCTTGCTTCTCTCATTGCTCAGAAGCAGAGCTTTCGTAAATAGTTAGATAAGGATTCAGTTGACACATCAAATGCACGTGTTACAAGTTGTTTATCATAGAATGGCTTAATGTGATTGGTTGAGAGATAAGAAAAACAATCAAGATTTGTAATTTTTCCGAAAGACGTCGCTACAGTCAGCCCACAAATATTGAATGAAATATGCTTGCGGTCCAACGGCAACGTGTTGACTCAGGACCCCTGGCTTGCAAGGATGAGAGGCTTTCTGCTTACGTTGCTATATACAGTTTACAAAAAATATCTGTATTGAAAAGAAACTTGTTGATTTTTAAAGTACAATTATACTCGTCAGTCGCGGATGAGCTTGTAGCAGATGCCATTCGACATTTCAATAAAGATGCTATATAAATTATATTTTAAAAAAAGAAGAATGGTTATAACAGCATTTAAAACAGAACATTATGGTCCAAAAATGAGTTGCATGTCCTGTTAATTTTTAAAATTGTAATTTTGCAAGTTTTTATCCCCTCGCTACATTTATTTGAAGTATTTCGATCAAAAAAAAAAATCACATGCAGCTATAAATTTAAATTGTTGGACTAAATTTATCATTATTGTAATAAATAACAATACGGATCCCTTTATCCATTACGTCAATGCGGCATTCTCTATTAGCTCACCTGAGCCGAAGACTCGAGTGAACTTTTCTGATCAAAATTTGGCCGTTGTCTGTCGTTGTCGTCGTTGTTTGTCGGCATTGTCGTTGTCTAATAATCTTTACATTTTCATCTTTTTCTCCAGAACCACTTGACACAGAGAATCCTTGTGAAAAGGAATTCAACTTTGTTCAAATGATGGGCCACGCCCTTTTCCAACGGGAATAGTTAAGAAATCGTGAAAATCGGGTGGAGCAATTCAAAAATCTTCTTCTCATGAACAACTGGGCAATGAAAAATGAAATTTATGTGAAAGCTTTCTGGGGAAGCGAAGATTCAAATTTGATCAAATCATGAGAACCGGGATGGGGTGGGGCCACTATGGGCGATCAACGTTTTACTTAGGAATACATAAGAAAAATCTTGAAAATTGTTCTTCTCAAGAACAGTAAA